TTCCAAATTTCAATGCTTCGAAACTTCAAAGCACCGAAGTTCTAAAGTTCCAAACATTAAATATTCCAACCTTCCAAACTTCCAAATCAAACATGCGAACTTCGAAAATCTCCAAAATCCGTAATTCCCAAATTTCCAGTTCACTTCGAAATCGTATCCAGCCACCGATAATCTCAACAAACCACAATCAAAATTTCTCGTTCACCGTCTCACTCACGAAATCTCTATAATAAACGCAAACGATCGATACCCGTCGCAAACAACGTTATATAATACAATAAAAAGTAAACAGAGTACCCAAATGGATTCGCTTCTATCCAGGAACAAATACGAGAATAACAAACAGAGATCGACGGGGAAAAATTTGATGGACTTTCAGAAAGAGGAAAGGTACAATGCTGAGCAAACACCGATGAGAAATTTTACAAATGGCGGCGGTTCGACGAGGTCGAAAGCCATTTTTCCGTGAGCAAGGATCGACGATGAAGCGACGTTCGAACGCTGCAGCGGAAGGACTCCACTCTGGCTTTCCTCGAGGGCTGAATTATTTGTTCTCCGCCGGTTTTCCCAGCCGCGCGCGTCTCCTCGCAGGCCGCGTCGCTCGGTTTGTTTGAGTTGGCGCCGCGGCACGCGTTCCCGCGGAAATCGCAAATACGTTTCAGCCAGCCGCGCGATCGTCCGGAAAGAAAACATCCAGACCGGCTGCCATTTACGAGACCCGGACCAGTTCCCATCTGAATTCGGATTCGCCGGAAACCATGGGGAATTCGATTGGAATTTAAACTGTCGAATTTACCCTTCGGACGTGATTTTCATAGAAAAATCGTGTTCACTTACCTAACAATAGAGGACTGACATTCAATGCACCAGTAATGACATAAATTTAAGACTAAAACTACCAGACAGGTCAAAATTACCTATTTCTGATTTCTTTCTTTACAATCATTGAGAAGATACAAGTGTTTCTTAGAGAACTCATTTTGATTATGTATGAAGTAAAATACAAGGCAATGAAAATTTTAGTAAATACATTGCTATATCTGCAGAAGAATAATGTATACATATGTGTGGTAATTCCTGATGATTGAATTAGAATAGAATCAATTGTCACTCTTTGATATATTGATATCCATAATTTCTTTTTATATGAATATTTTAGTAGTAACTGAATAATTTTGAAATCTAAGGTAATTCAAGAGATGAGCATGATAAAATTTGCTCCCTAATTTTATAAGCAACCGGAGGATAATTCTGTAAAACTGTTAGAGGTTGGAAGTTTTAAACTGATTAGCGGACTGCGGCAGATTGAGCGAGTTAAACTTCCCAGCAGGGTTCAATGAGTTATAATCTAGTAAAGTTCTATTTTCCACATGGACAACTCCAACGAATAGTAGATAGGATAGTTCCATTTTACAACCGGCTTTTAATCATTAAAACCATCAATACATTTTCAACGCAAGAAAATTCTCAACAAATAAAGTTCCATATCAACGAAACTTCATAATATCACTAACTCAAACTATTTCCCTCATTTCCATTATTCCCATTATTTAACCCTTTGCCCTATTTATTTCTCAACTACAACCAATGCAACTACTTTACCATTAATAATCTATTACAAAAAGAAACAATTTTAATAACTAACAACGGAAAGCTATCGTTTGATTTATATTTAAAACAAATAAATAACACTTAGGTTTCTCAAACTGAGTTCAATATCTTCGTCACGAGTCTGACACGACATTGTAGGTCAAGCGGTTAACTACGATGTCCCACCAGCGAAAGCCCTCCAAAGCAAACAACATTAAAATACACACGTTCGCACACGAAGAAGCGTTGGAACATCGAAAATCTAACAGCAATCGACGAACATCAAACGGCTTTCTTGATTCCTGAAAGCATCGAATCGATTCGGTACATATATTTCTCGTTTAGCTCCGCCGATATCAAAGACTCGATTTTATCTCCTTTAGGCTCCACTTCGCATTCCACGGGAATCGCGGCGATTATATATTCTGTTGAATGCCGGTCCGATAAGACGATCTTCTTGACGTAATCGTTTCCTTTCTAGTGTATTGATTTTACGATCGCGGTCTATTCCTGCGTCGGATCCCGGTGTGTATCGGTAATAACTCAGCCGGCCGGTCGCGATATTCGCGGATATTTGTGACGTATGGGCGTCGTAAACACGAAGGAATCACCATATATCACGGCGAGCCATCCTCTCGAGGTTATAAATTGCATATGCAAATGTCTTCATCGGTCTCCGTCTGAACGCATCTTCTTTCCCGAGACGATTCTATCGCTCGTCAATTACACTCCAACTGGCCAGTCAACACGGAATTACTCTCTGTCCTCCGGGATCGAACTGAATCTTCGCCCGCGACAACGGGCCTGGCTAAGAGGAACCGTAGATCACGGGCTACTAACAAGCTTCTAGCGCCAGGTACAGCTTAATTAATGGAAATAGAATCGCTATTGATGGAATCGTGCTCGAGAATAGTCGGACCGTTGGAGGCCGAGCGAGAAGAAGGTAAATTTTGGAAGAATTCGCGTGTTGTTGTACAGAATTCAGTTTGAAACACGATTCTGGTATTAGATCGTGAACTGTCCGAATGGAATACTGACAGAGGAAATTAGTAGAATATTTCTATTGTTGAATAGAGTATTGAAATTGATATGTAAACATATTTTCCAACATAGAGCGAATCTTATCGAGCGAAATTGAATTATTTTAAAGGTTAATGGTTGATCCTTAATTCGTTGAAATGTTTTGTAACAAGACGATTCTATCTTCTAAAATGAATTCTTTGAACTACAGTAACTTTTTTTGTGAAGAACTTCAGATCCTAAGAGCGAGAAATAATCATTCATGAAATAAATCATCCCTTTGAAGATTATGAATCAAAAATATCATCTCTTAATACATTGTGTGCTTGAAAGAAACGAAGATGTTATTTTTAAGATAAAGTGTTAATGAAATAAATAAAAACGTGTTTTCACGTAATTCGTATATCATTTAACACGTTGACTGACACGAGAATCTAAATCGTTTTATATACTATTTGTTCTTTCGTGGCAAAGATGAGCAGAAACAATTATTAATGATTTAACGTCATAACTCTTACGCTATACTATTATCTAGTTACTCACAATGTTAAACAGCTTTATTCGATGATCTTACATATTATAATCGCCCTCAAGCAATTTGAAAGTATCGGTCATCGGTGACCACCGAGGCATTCAACGCGTTAACCCCTTGACCTACAATATCGCGTCCGACTGGCGAGGCGAATCTCAAATGGAAGTTAACAGAAATAAATGTCACTGAATCCTCTTGATTTCGAATTAAATATTGCTCTTCTATTATCAATCATCTTTTAAAGGAAACGTGAACGTAGACAAACATAGAATTTCCCTTTGTTTCTAATGGATTATTAATAATAAAGTAATTCTACCAAATTGTAATATCACCTATAGAATATAACATTACAAAATAAATCATGCGGCGAGTGATCGAATCAGATCTTCAACTTACTACTTAACACTGGAACTAACAAGTATTTAACAGGATTAACACGTAATCATAAAAATTATAGCAACAGATTTTATCGATTTCTTCATATAAAATTGCACTATGTACCAGAAATATTCATGTGGGTTCTTAAATCAAGATTTACACACAGAACGCTTTCGTAAAATTATCTTATTCTATTTAATACTATCATAAACAACATTTTCTAATACCAATTTCATTCGTAACACGTTGACTGCCACGAAAAGCATCAGCGTTTTATGTATCACTTATCCTTTCTATAGCAAAGATACAAAGCAAGAATCATTAATTCTCTGATATGAAGATTCTCATATTACCTTATTATCTAGTTATTTACGGAAAATTCGTATTCGAAATCAATTATTTTCCAAGTCATAATTATTTTCTTGTAATTTGAAAGCTCCGGTCATCGGTGACCGTTGTGACAGTCAAAGTGTTAAACTAGCGAAGTACTAATTAAAATCAGGCCTCAATCCATTGCTATCAAAACCACGCTAATTTTTTCCAATACCTAATCCTATTCGAGTGAAACTATTTATTTCTAAAATCATGTCAAACACCTAACACTGTTGAGATATCAATAATTTCAAAACGAAAAAATTACAGTAGTTCCAGTGTTAATTAATACTCGATACTCTATGAACTCGAAGGATCACCGAAACAGCGCGCGCCTGGGAACTAGGCCCGAGTCCCGGAAGCGGGCAAACTGTTGCTTCCCGGTCGAGGTTCGAAGTTCGCTGGTAACATACCTTGTCCGTTTCGACGGTCGGTCCAACGATCGTGTGGTCCATCGAATTATCCCCGTGGAATGTCACCGGACGTGTCCACGAGCGGTTTAACCCCTTAACTATCATTACCGTAACATACGTAACCACGACAGATCCACGAGAAATCGGTATAGAACCTTGTTAATTCATTCAAATTCAAAAGGGCGATTTAATTTTTCTGCAAAACTAAAAGTTTACCTTTCGGCTGCCATTAAACGGCAATGATTTTACGTTTAACCAGGAACGAGACTGATACTCGACTTTAAGTTCACGGAATAGCACTGTTTACCGGGGAAATTCGACAGTTAAGGGATTAATTAGGAATACCCCGTGAAAAGTGGAAGCGAGGGTGGACGCCTTGATGCGAACTGACTGCGGCGGTTTCATTCAAGAAGGCGTCGGCGGTCGTCGCGACGCCCCTCGCGCAAGCGCCCCGACGCGCGTCTTTTTTCTTCCTTCCTCCCGTTCACGCACGCGCCCGGCGTCGTGCCGCGTCGCGTCGCGTGCCGATTTATTTGGATTAATTGAAATATACCCCCTTCTTCGTTCCCCTTTACCGATATTAATAGGCGACGGCCGCGGCCAATCTTGGCCTCGCGGTTCGGGGAAAAAATGATCCACTGCTGCGTTTCAATTAACGCAGCTCCTCTTTGACGACGAATTTTGGCGTTTTACAGGCATCGGATTTTTGTATACGAAGGACGGAGTTAGCAACATATAGTGGGGCTTCCGGACTTACGTCCTAATTGGTTCTGGAATGAGCGATGCAAGTTCGGAAGGACGTCGTCTTCTGGTGAGCGTGTTAACCCCTTAACCCTTGCTACTTGACAGTGGAACCAGTTAAAATGGCTAACTTCAATGATTTCTTAGTTTGCGATTGTTTGTAATATAAATATGTTAAGTGGGAATTATTTTGAGAATTACTAGTTTTACTTGTATAATAATGAATATTACCAGGAATTTAATCGTTGTTTATAATTTGTAGAAGAATTACGTATGAAAGTCGTGGTATTTACATAGGAGAGACACGTGCTTGCATGCGAACGTAGATAAAAATGATGGAAGAGATTACGTTTAAACATTTGCACTTGACAATATTTTTCTCAATAAATATACATTATCTTCTGATGAAATAGTAATGATACTTTTTGCAACTAATGTAAAGAAATATCTTGCATACATTAAGACACAGAAGTATTTTATTTAGATGTTCCATGTGTTGATGCATTATATAAAATTTAACATTGAATTTTAAGACATTATTTTGTTGGATGAAATTCACTTTTAGTTCATTTTCCAATATTTGTAAAAGAAGAAACTTAAAACAGGTGATTCTGAACCATTTGGATATTCTAATATTAATATTAATCAATATAAAATTTTATTAACGACTCAACAATCACTTCAGAAGTTTCTCATTAGCAGCGAATTAAAGCTATTTATTTCTCTGCTACTGATTCGGTAGAATAGAAAACGAAAACGTATTAATTTGTATTTAATTTATCATTGTATATGGCCCCTTTCAAGCGTTTAATTACCGTATCCGGCTTACCGTCCGACTTAACTTGAATTCCGATACCGTGAAAATCCCGTTCGCCGGATAATTAATATCCATTTTCACAGTTAAATAATAGTACAGTGTCGGCGAATAAGTCGCGGGGAACAATGTTCAATATTTTAGACGGGGTGCACAAGAATGCTGTAGCATCGTGGCTAATTAATAGCGGTGCGCGGTATGTTAGCACGTTGTGCTCAATTTCGGGCGTTGAGGAAGTGGAAGAATTAATCAAACCCGATGGCGTCGATGTGTAACCGTGATTGCGAGGTATTTGACGATTCCGCGCTAACCGGAAAGTACCTTCGTGCTCTTCTTTTGGTGGGCGCGTTAACCCCTTAACCCTTGCTACTTGACAGTGGAGCCAGTCGAAATGGTTAACTTCAGTTTTTTTATTTCGCAATTATTTGTACCATAAAAATGTGAAATACTGGGAATTATTTTGAAAATTGTTAGTTTCATTTGCATACTAATAATGAATATCACCAGAAATTTAATTTTTCTATATGATTTTTAGAAGAATTATATATGGAATGTATTAAATACCTTCTAGTTCTAGTATTAAAGATATGGAATAAATATTTCCAGTTGAGTTTAATAAATATCGTTGCACGTTAATGGAAATCAGTTCTTAATGAAGATTCCCAGCACGATTTGATAAAAATCAATACTATTCATTGCAAATGAGTCGAAATGAAGGATTCCTCTGTGGTATTAATCCGTTACTGTTCGAATAAATAGACACTTGTAATGAATAGTACGTTTATTCGCATTCTAATAAATTGTTCATAATCAAATAAATCGATAAATCGATGAATCTATAAATATAATTACTCATACATAGTAAAGAGGGTAGAAACCATAGAAAATAGAATATTAAATAAAAATGCATAGATTTTAAATAAAAATATTTAGTAACATAAGTAGCTAGATCATAACGTAATATGACTACTGTAATACTAAATCATTAATAATTATTTTCAATATCATTTGTCTCTGTTATTAGAGAATAAATATTACCGTTCAAAACGCTAGAAATTCTCGTGGCAGTCAGCATGTTAATCGTAGTTTTAATTCTTCCATCTGTACGGATGACATTCTAATTCGACGATCCAAGAAATCCCACTTTCCCATCAAACTTAGATCCAGCCCAGAAGGTTGCACTACTTTCGATCAATTACACAATAAATATCCTGAACAATACATGATCCGTCTTTCACCAAGTACCATGACATCCGAATATCAACGCAACCCACCATAGCTAAAGGGGTCAATGGTCAACAATGGTCAACAACGTGTTAACCATACAAAGGGCTAACTTCCCTAGTAGCTCGAGCTCGATAGACTAAAAATCCCATAATAACGGTGGCGTTTCGTTGTGTTAACAGACAATTGCAGGCGAGGATGCGGCAGCTGGCGGTTCTGAATGAAGACATCATAGACCATAGTCGACAACGTAGAAGAAAGTTAGGTTCATCGCGGCGGAATGGAATGGAGGAGTCGAACGCGCCCCTAGAAGCTTCTGCCTCGGTCAAAAATAGACGTGGAATGACACGGGGAAGCGGATACCGTAATATTTTAGTGTCACCGAAATAAAACTGGGAGCCATCTGGCCAATTATACGAATGCATAAATCCGCGCTGAATGCCGGGGGCGGGGGAAAACAAACTAGCCGCGTTTCGTCCCGGTTTACGACTTCCGATCGATCGGGCCATCCGCCTAGGGGATCGGTGACATTTTGGAATGCCTAACGGGATTCCACGGGGCTTAAGGAAGTTAGGATCGCTGGTAAGCCTGAGTGATAGAAATCGGGATACCTTAAAAGTAGGTAGACGAGACCAAATCCGTCCAGGATGCCTGGTTTTGGCGGTCGGTGGCTTTTACCGTTTGCCTGCCGTTTATCTTGCGTGCAATAGGTGCGCACCGTTTATAGAACCTGCAATATTGGATTCTGTATCCGTTGGATGAGTTCTGGCAGTGTCTTTATGGTTTGTATGTAATACAGATTATCTGTGGAATGTTTGCTTAATTAGATATCTTTCTGGTGCCATTTTTGTAACTCTAATGTTGGGAATAAAGAAATTGTATTATAGATTGGGTTCTGTATCGTTGGATTAACGAGTTGTTTGTTTAGTGAAAGTAATTGTTAATTTATTCATTTTCGTAGGATATATGTGGTAGATTGGATTCCATTTTGGTGATACTTTCAGGAAGGTAAAATACAATTTTACATCAAACTTGACCATTTGGTAACACTTTTAGGAAGGTAAGATACAGTTTTACATTGACGAGGTATTTTAGATTAATTACTATATGAAATACTATGTAGGTATAGTGTATATCCATAAACTATAACAGTTAAATACTATACAGAGATAGACAATATTCGTATAAAGCAGTTTATACTTGCAAGATTTTCAAGCACCACGTGTTCAAGAAATAAGACTCGATCAAGTGTTTGTTATTTTGTTCCCTAATTCTTCGAAGCATTCACGAAACACAAGATTCCTTTAATGTTTCCTCGGTTACCCACAAGATTGCTCTACTATTTTGGCGAATATCACAACGCGCCACGGTTATTTCTCCAAACAGCTTGTTCCTGCCAGACTCAACAGAGTTCCAAAATTCACGGAGCAAGGGATGATCAAAGGCTTCCCGATCGATCTCTGTACTATTTGTGACGAAACTCAGCATCACGACCTGTCGGTCGATCTGTTGCTCGATTCGCGATAAGCCCCTACTATTTATTCGAAGCCGAAACGCGTTTGATCTACTTCGCTCAACTACTTCTGATCGTACTTCAGGCTTGAAGAGGCTCAAGACGATACGCCCGACGTCTGCAAATAAATCAGATACGTTAACGAGGCCCCCGGCTCTGCCTTGGATCCTGCCGTTCCCGAGATCTTTTTTAAAACTTCGCCGAACGTCACGTGCTCGGCAAACTTTGAAGCGGCTTTTACGTAACAATTTTATTTATTTTCATTAACGCTCACATTTATCGATGTGTTTCTTTTTCCGTTGTTTTTCGAGGTAAAGGGATTGGTTACTAACTTGTACAATATTCCATCGTGTGCTCGATATTTTTCGCCGTGTAAACTCCATTTGTAACCCTTTGCACGGCGAGTTACTTTTATAGTTTACTTTCGATAATTTTGTATTATCGTAAGTGTTTCATTTGAAGTGTACTTTGAAAGATGGTTACTTAATGGTATACAGTGTAAAAAATTCTTTTTAGAAATAACATTGGACATAGTATAATAACATAATAATAGAACAATGACTAGTTCAAGTTTCCTTATTTCGCGATGATTCACATCTTAAAAGCATTAAATATTCGAAATGGTTTGAAAAATAAATAGTTTTACTACAATGCTATATATTAATATATGAAAAAGCCGAAGACAAATCTATTACAATTCGTATAAGGACTACATATTAACCCTTTGCACTCAACTCTCACCACTTTATTTGATATAGCAAAATTATAAAATTTTATATATAATATTAAGCTTTATATAACACATCGAACGTGAAATATTGAAATAAAGTGGCCACTTAGTTCAATACATACAGAATTATGAAATTTAATATTTAATATGAAGCTTTGTACAAATGCGCCAATATGTGAAACAAAAAGAACTTTGCTGCTTAATCTGTGTATGATTTCTCATTAAGCTGATTTCAAAAAATATCATTTGTATCATTAGACAATGTTCGACCGCAAAGGGTTAATTTCTGTATACTTTCTCATTAGTTAGTTTCGAAGAATATTTCTAGTGGAAAACTTTCGAGAGCACAGGGGTAATTACGTCAACTACTCCGTTGCTCTAGTGTTGACCCTTTGAGTTTCAGTCATCACTTGATTTGATGTAGTAAAACTATAAAATTTAATGTTTAGCAAAATATTTAGGGCAAAATAGCCTTGTTCCTCAACGTACTTGTGATTCCTCTTTGAGTTAATGTACAAAAATATCGTCTTTGTCTAATTAGAAGATGTCAAGCATTTCTAGCGAAACACTTCCGGACGCAAAGCGTTAATAATGCCTCGACAAAGGAGCACACTTTCGACCGAATTTCATGTCGAGTTATATTCAACACTGGAGTTCAAAGGGTTAAAGAAGTCGAACGGAAATATCCGTGTTCTCGAATGGACGGCGTATCGTCGCGTAAAGATGGCTGTCAGCGGGGTACACGGTCCAAGTAATAATGGCTGACGCGTTGGCAGACGCCATTGCGCGGTTTTCGCTTGTCAACAACTAAGTCAGGGTACTACTGTAACAAGGAAGTTGCCACAGTATAATTTACGCTGATTGTTTGGTCCGCGCTGGTTGAGAATGCGATCATCGTTCACAGTTGCGGGCGGGATCCGCTTTAATAACAACGCTGTTGCGAGAGTTCGGCGTGTCCGATTGTACTAAGCATTCACCGCTGTGTCAGATTAAAGCTGCTATTAACCATTCTCAAATTTCCCGCATTATTAATATTCCTCGGCGAATCGGAGACGCTAGAGTCCCAGATATTTTTCATATCGGTCATGCAGATTAATTTCAGTCAAGCGTTCTAACGTGATTACGAGATTCGTTCTATAAGCGTCTCAATATGAAAAATGAGAGTCTTCTAGGAGGAGTTTGGAGGAAGGGTTGAAATTAGGATATTTATTTTCTGATAAGGAGATATACACTAGTTTAATGCAGAACTACCGGGTAGAGTTAAAAATAGAAGATTTATTGTGTATGTATACAAAAGTAGACATTAGATTAATGATGTTTAATTCAGTCGCGAATTTAAGATTTATGTTTCATGCGGTCTATAATGAACACAATGTAGCAATCTCGACAGTTTCCACTGATTTTCGAGCCAAATATCTCTGGCATTGCATCGCACCAGGATTTTCCAATTTTACAATACATCTGCATGAACGCTACATGACTACATTACTACGGGTATAATAATATGCAAGGAAACATATTTCTTTGTGATTTTTATGAGAAATTATAAACCAATTATTTCCATAAAGTTTCAGAAGGTGTCTTTTGACACCTTCGGTGGAAATAGTGATGACACGTTGACTTCTACGGTGGTCACCGGTGACCGGAGCTTTTAAATGACTTGAAAATAATTATAATTCATAAGACAACTGACGCTGAATCAAAGTATTCAATAACGTAAATAACTAGATGACAGTGCAACGTAAAAATTGTGGTAACAAATAATTAATAATTATCCCATTTTATCTACAAAGGAATAAGTGATACGCAGACCACTGATACTTTTTGTGGCAGTCATCGTGTTAACCCTTTGCACTCGAGAGGCGACTCTCAATCAGTACTTAATTCGATACAATACAATTATAAAATCTTATATGCAATGTTAAGTTTTATGTAATATATCAAGCATAAAATATTGAAATGGAATAGCTTCGATTCCTAATTTACGTATGTTTCCTCAGTAATTAATTTCAAAGAATGTCGTCTATATTGCATCAAGAAACATTGAACATTTGTAGTGGAGAATTTTCGAGGGCAAAGCAGTAAAATCATAAAATCTTCTATGCAATATATCGAGCGTGAAATATCGAAATAAAATAGCTTCGATTTCTAATTCATGCATGTTGAAAAACATTGAATTTTTCGGGAACTTTCGAGTGCAAAGTGTTAAACACCGTGTAATATCATTTACCAACACTCGTTTACAAAACCCCCCATTTCCATCCCTTATTAACCCATTTCCCCTTTCGTGCCATATATCTTTCCCCGTTCCCCATTTATCTGGCGGTTTCGGCGTGGCCGCTTCCGTTTCGCAGAGGCATCGCTTCCGGCGGCGCTCCGGTAAAGAGGCCGCGCGGCGAGCGGCCCGAAGAGGATCGGAAGATCGGGAAGAGCCACGCGGAACCGGCCGCGAGGGCACAGGATCGCGTACGCAAGGTAAGAGAGGGAAAGGAACCAACCGTCTATTTCCGAGCGCGCGTCGCTCCAAATTTAAACGACTCGACGCGACGCCACCCGCCCTCGGTCGGCGGTCGGCTTCCACTTCCTTCCCTTTGCGTCACTTTGGTTAAGCCGCACACCCATCCTCCTCGTGTTCATTAAGCTCGAAGGACCGCGCCCGAAACCGCCTCGGACATTGCCCTCCTCCTACCCCTCTCTCAGACGAACACCCACCCCGGCGACTGTTACGGTTTCCCGCGTTTACATTTCGCGCCGCGCGCACCACTGATTCTTATTTAACCCTTTACGATCGGCAGATTTTTCTGGTGATAGTACCAACTAGTTGAAGCAAAGTTATCTTTTTATAGGTGGTTTATAATAAATATGTGGATATTCAAAATTTGTTGAAGTTAACACGTTGACTGCCACGAAAACCTTCAGAGTTTTGTGTCTCGTTTATTCTTTTGTAGCGAAGATAAAGAGGAAGAGTTATTATTTGGTATCGGAATGCTTAGGTTACATTATTGTCTAGTAATTTACGCTATGAAATATTTCTATTTGACATCAGTTATCTGAGAAATTGTAATTATTGTCAAGTAATTTGGAAGCTCCGGTCATCGGTGATCAACGTGGCAGTCAACGTGTTAATGTGTTTAGCTGAATGTAAATTCTGTAAAGAATGATAAATACAATACTTCTCGGCGGTAAAATAATACTGTATTCAGAAAAAAAGAAAATATTTTTCATTACAGACATTGATTATTTTCTGATGAAATATTAATAATTTGCGACTTACATATAGAAACATCTTGCATAAATTTTGGGGCGGAATTGCTTTATTTCTATGTTTCATGTGTTAACGCCTTGACGTACAAATAAAATATATGCGTCTGAAAATGATATTTAATTTCGTTCAACTGAACAGTTATGTGCAAGCTTAGAAACAGGACATTTTATTTTGAAATTTGTTAATTTTGAGTTTGAAATTTGTTGAAATTTGTAATTTTAAGTTAGTATTTAGAATGAATAAATTGAATCATTTTTCATTCATTATTTTCAGATAAAATTTATACTTCATTTAAAGTTTTGAAAATTTACAAAATGGTCTATGATTGCTCTGTAAATATAGTATATTGAATATGTCAGATTTTTTTCACTATTTTTCCAAGATAGTATAGACACTCATTACTCGAAATACAAAATTTCATTTAAAAATTAAAAAAAAATTTCATGGCACTTAATGGGTTAATCAGATTGATATATTATGTTAATGCATAGTAATTAAATTATATTATAAAATAATGAATTAATAGTTCTGTAACGTATGAACCATTTCAAAGCATTTTGAAATATGTAGAGTAACTAGACATTGTTTACGTCTCAGAGACGTCAAAGTCTACAATGGCACATGAAATGAATGACGTTTCCCAGACGTCATTGTACGTCAAGGGGTTAACCCTCTGCACCAGAATTTCTTTTGGATTTTTTCCTCGATAGCTCTGTATTATTACGAAATTTTATTTGAAATGGATTTTAAAAAATAGTTAGTTCGTAGAGGGCAGTGTAAACTTCTTCCTAATAATATTGAAAATAACATTATTATTAAATTAACGTTATTCAATGAGACGGCCTGCATCATTGAAATAATGATATTTGTGTCTCATTACTTTGTTAGTTATTATTTTGCCAATTTTAGGATCTGCAGTTAGTAGACCACGTTTTAAATCATGAAATTAACTATCACATTTTATGATTTTACTTTACTTTGATTTTTCAATTTATTTGATGAAGGAATCGAGTTGAACGGACAATGCTCGAAAGAAATCACTGCCAAGTGCCGCGAACACGCGTTTCCTACCATCTTTCAGTCGGAAATTTAGTAGGTCGATGATAGGCATTATATTCGACGCGTATTATGTTTCACGGCAGTATTTTTGCGCGCGTGTTTATCGGGCCAAATTCGACGTAGCGTGCGAAACGCTGCTGGTGTTCCGAGTATTCTGCGCGAATTTGCCGTCAGTTTCTTAACACTAGAACTACCGTACCAGTCAAAACGGCTGGTTTCGGTTTTCTTGTTTCACAATTATCGATACCTTAACAGCATTGAATATCCGAAATGATTTTAAAAGTAACTATAATAGTTTCACTTGAATTATGTAACGAATGTCCGAAGAAACTGAAAATAATCTATTGTTACAATGTTTATAAGGATTACACATCAATTGTATTAAGATTAGATTTACAGAACGAGTTAATTTGACTTATATTGAATTTTATAAGCATTATTTGGTAAATGTTTGAGTCGATTGTTATTAACGCAGTTATGCAAATATGTATCCTAATTGTATAAATTAACGGATAACAATTTTTCTTAGAAAAATAGAATAAACTGCACAGTAAATGTCAGTAAATCTAGTGTTAAATGCTCGGTAGTTCTAGTGTTAAACCCGACGAATCTACGAACGATTTAATCGTGGGAACAATACCCTTCATCACAATGCTATAAATAATCATCACTTTCCGATAAAATATCGATAATATATTTAACAATTGACGTACTCAAAAATCATATATAGATACAAAAATTGATAAATCAGAGAGCAGAAGTTCTTATTTCAATATTTCGTGAATTGAAACATTATACCACATAATTTAATGGGAAATATTGAATTTAATCATTTTGCTACATTGAACCAAACTGAGAGTCGCTTCTCGAGTTCAAAAAGGTTAAATTTTCATGTCCTAAACTCATTGCTCGATATCAATATTCGTAACAGTGTATTTAAGGAAGTTTGATCATCTATTAATTTTCTGCTCCTAGGAAAAATACAATGTGTGTGCTCTAACTAATACATAGAAGATTTTGTATTCTCATAAATTTTCAATATAATTAAACTCCCGTCACTACTTAATATAATTTGTCTTATATTAGTATTATTCACAAGCATACTAGTCTTCTATAAAAATGTATAGAATTTATTCGAAATGAAGTGGTACATTGTGGTAATTATTAATAATAATTACTCAAGTTAATAGTTATTTTATACTTTGATTATTCCATTGATATTCTTTAGATGATTATTAGAAGTAGTAGAAATGGAATGAAAGAAAGTGATAAACATCAAAATGGCAAGCTGCAGTAATGAAGGGCATGTGTGCAATTCGGATTTTTCTTTTCGTCCACTGCACGCTTGTCTTGCTCGATTTAACGGCACGGTATCGGTGGCTGCTGAATGAACGTGGCGTTATATTTAGCCGCGTAAACGGTTTAGATTAC